GGCAATTACTTTTTTTAATACACAGGACCAGGTGGGGTTTTTAAATCATCATTTAAAAACTGCATTTTAAATTTGTCTAATATTAAATTTGTTTGATGATCTGAAACATGGAAGTTTGAGAAATGTGCAAAAAAGTGAAAATGCTTTTCATTGTATTGTCTAGTATCATTTCTGAAGCACTGCCTTTTGTTATGTGAATAGTGTAGTAAGAGAACAGGACAGAACAGTGAATAAGAGGAAACATCTCTCACAGCTTCAGGTTGCTTACTGTGTCTCATAAAACATTTAGTTGATTCAGTGAGCTGTCAGTTAATCCCTGTGCATGAGCAGATCGTGCTGCTTTTGGTAATAATGCCATTTATTGCGTGTACTGAGAGGCTGCTGTGGAGGAGGAGATTAAAAGAGCCACAACACTGACCGAGTTCAGACTGCTGAAGCTGAAATGGGCTGAAACGTGAAACTTGGATAGTTGTTAATGTACAGACTGTGAATACTAGTGTGACAGTGCAGGTACATACTTGTACTTACATTTTCTGGCAGTGGCTAATTTAGCCCATTACGATTGTTGCATTCACTGAAATCTGCTGTAGAGGAGGACTATGAGTGCATGTACAAACTGATATGTCAGATAAATGCAGGCTTGTGAAGGGCACATCAGTGTAGGGCTCATTGGTTTCATCAACTGAAACTCGCTGGCTTTCATACAGAACACAAACTATATATAGTCTACATCGAGCTATGAATGATGGTTAGCTGTCAGCCAAATCCAGTGACGATGAGCTTAAGTCAAGACTTATTTCAGCTGTCATTAAGCACACTGTAGACACCGTCTAATTAAAGAGTAAGGAAAGCTGCTTTACCTTCCATATCACTGATGCTTCGCAGCAGCTCGTCAGTGTCCAGGGGTTTGTCATCAGTTAACACATAGCTTTCAATGTTATAGTTACTCATCAGATGGTATACTCCTTCTAACGTGAAGTAGCAGTTCCGCTGCTCCCGGTCGTCCTCGAAGACCAGCAGAGCGCTCTTCCAGGAGAAGTGTTCAAACATCGCCGTGAAAGTCTCTGCCATTTTCACGTATGGCGGGGCGATGCGAGTCAGGTGGGAGTATTCTTTGTTCTTGTTCGCGAAACCTGTGGCCAGGGCACCTGCCGAGATCACCGGGATGTTCCAGTGGGACGCCAGCCTTACCACTGCCGCAGCCTCGTACTCGCACACAGGACCCAGGATCAGGTCGGGCTTCTGTCCGCAAGACCTGTCCGCTAATGTGAAGAAAGCATCATAGAGGCAGTCGGAGTTTTCAAACTGGATGTTGAAGTTGAACCCGGAGTACTGACCCCCGTCTGCCTTCAGTCTCTTTTGTGCGTAACGGATCGCCGGTGCGACTCGTTCATATGAAAAAAGATAAGAATTATTTTGTGGCAAAAATACCAAAACATCTAAGTCCTCGGTCATGGTGTTTGTCATAACTGGGCTCAGGGCTACCAAGAAATAGACACATAGTGTTCTCAAATGTGGCATGGTAGCACTTCCTCTTCAAGACAGACAGCCAAAGACTTTTAGAGAAATATTCTTCCAATGTTCCTTCCCTCAAGTTGGCTCTCGGCAGCGCACATAGAGCTGCAAACAGAAAGCCCTCTGTCGTTAGTAAATGCCTTAATAGTAAATAACTGTATTTGTCTTTTGGAGAAGCCAATCTACCAGAATGGGTGTGTTTTATTCTGCATTTAGAGTCGCTTCCCAAGCTCCTGAACCTGTTCAAACTATTTTCTCAACAGTTGATCGTGCCAGGCTCGGAAATTCTTCCAGCTCAGTCAACAGCCATCATACACGCTGGCTCCGGCCTGGAGTTTAGAAGCGTCTTTTCAGGATTATTCATGCGTCATCGGAGCGCTGCCCACCTCCTTCTTAAAGCTACACCGCTCCCGAGCGCACAATGAGCCACTTCAACGTAGCGTGACTTAATGCGCTCCAGTTAATGCAGATGACGCTCTTTACTTTTTGTTGACCGAGCTCTAACCATCTGTAACACAGCTATAGATCATTTATTTAGACAGGGTTTAATTAACAACAACACAAGCCATCAAACTGCAGGTGTGCATGGACTCTGCTGTAACCAAGATTTCTGTATAGACATTTTCAGCATTAGTAGCAAATAAGTCGGAAGACTGGTGGAAAAATGTGACCAAAAATTAAAATTGTGATGTTGATGGTATGCAAACGATTTAAATGAAGCCCTAAGTTCTTTATTTTTATAAACCTTGGGAGTCAACTGGCAAAGAAATCATTTTAAGCTCAGCAGTGCATGCTGACACTGCCGACAAGCCTCTGGCAAAAACACCGTAAACAACAGTATAAAAGACATATTACAAGTCATGTCTGTGAGAAACAGGAAGAAACCCAGCAAAGATCTGAGAGATGCATCCGACCCTCCAGTGGATCCATCTAACGTCACCGAGGCCTCATCAGAAATGGTCCCAGTCAAAGTGTGGTTGTCAAGAAACCATTCTTAATGATACAGGGAGGAAAGGCTGAGGTGTGCCAAATTACTCCAGAGCAAGAAAAAACAAGATAAGGACAAACATAAAGCAGAGATGTGTTTCTGTCAGAGGGGTTAATGTGTGGAAGAGTTATGACAGTGATTTCAAAAGATCTAGTTCATTTTCCTTGTTTAAAAACATGTTTAAAAATAGAGCCATAATAATACTGAAACTCTTGGTTGTTTTGCTTTGATTATTGTTATGAAATGTAATTTATTATCTAAGGTGGAAGGTTTTTGTTTTGATTTTTGTTTGTTTTACTCTTTTGCTTCGAGCCCTGTGTATATGAGCTGCACGCTAAATGAGCTTTTGTTAAAAGGCTTGGTGTAATAAGCATCTTTTGATTAGCCTTGCTGTGGTAGATCTTATTCTGTATTCATTGATCTATTTGAATGCTAATCAAATAAAAACACATTTTAAAAAATCACTGGAAGGCCGCAATCCAGATTAGCCTTTTTTGGATCCAAATCGCCATCAGTATGTTCAGAGGAGCTCAGGATGGAGCTACCACAGTGAGGGTCTACAGTCATCTGTGGAAAACAGTGGAGGCTCAGTCGTGGTTTGGGGCTGGGTTTCAAAGCCTCTGATTGGACAGTGATCCCAAAGATGCTACCAATGCAGTAACAGCATCCCCACAATGATTTGCCATTTTCCATTGTAGTGATGAAGCCGTATGAAACAGATAAATTGTAAATAAAATAGTAGATAGGTAGAACAAGTGTGTGCACAGTGATGGAGTTCACGGCCTGTAGTAACAGCAGAGAGATCCAAGCGAACAGAGTGAGCGACTCCTGTGAATGAATAAACAAAGCAAACCAAAAAGCTTCAGCTTATAACCTCTGCACTTATCATGGCTCATTAACGTGTCACTAATGACCCGCCCACTGACGCTGTCTAAAGACACCTTTTGTTTGCTGGCATTCAGACTGCAGTCTGCTGACGTTAGTGCTGATGCTTTCCACAGTTTTTTGTAACATTTAAAATCATTACATGGAAAATGATGTGAAAAGCATTATACAGAATGTAAAGAATAATTCTGCACATCTTTATTTATTGTACAAATTATACCAATTAGACCACTGCCTAGAAAAATTATGAAATTATGGTCATTAGGCTCAGCTCAGCACACATGCAATCTCATCTTTTACGTCTGGATTCATGTTTATTTTTGAGAAGGCAGTCTGAGCAGACATCCTGCTGAACCTGCAGGCTCAGCTGTGCCTCTGCTCTTTTTGTTGTTGATCATTTCTGACATCAGAAATATACAGATGCAGTACTGAGTGCTGTGTGCATTGTGCAAGAAAACGGCCAATTAGATTTCCCCGGCTGTGCGTTGATAAGCATGACTGCACTGACTCAGAGCACTGATTCAAGAATATCCAACACCTTCAGGATGAACATGAAAATCAGTTGTGGCCAAGTCCTAATTGCTCACGTAATGTTCCTGAAATGATTTCATGTGATACACATTCTAATTGTTTTATATGTTTTATGTTATATTTACTATTAGTTAAAGGCATCAAAATACAGTATATAGATGACATTTTGCCAGTGATCCATTGCACAGTTACACAGCCTGACCTCAGCGGTCTGCTTCATTAGTCTGGCCATAAATGTCTTTAAGATAAATAGATTAAAACAACTAAAGCTTGCTTTCCCGTGTTTTTCACATGCTGTCATAGCACTGATGTACTGAAGCAACAGTATCTCACACACAGAAGTGTGTGATTTTACTCCCCTCTGCTGGTCTTACACCTGGACACTGAAAATGCAGCCAATTTAAAAAGAAGTGATTTACTGTAACATTTAAATTCAGTGTTCAGAGATGCACTGCTTCACACTGTTGCCTCACAGAAGGCCTTTAGTTCAAGCCAGTTGGTTTTTCTGTGTGGAGTTTCATATGTACTCGATGTGCCTGCATTGGTGGTGGGTGTATTGTGGCAGAGAGAGAACTCCAAGGATCAGACAATCCCACTTCACAATGACGGGTTGGAGGAATTCCTTTTTAACTGGGAGAGAGTAGACAAAAGTAGACACGACATGCAGCACTGGCATATAAAGGCAATGGTACTGAA